TGGGGGGGGGGGGTAAGTAAGGAGTGAGGCTAGGGCGAGGAAGAGGGAAGAAAGATCGCGGATGGTCCATGGCACGTTTCTTAGAGTACTGCTCTGGCATTCACCTGGAATTGATCGGAGAAAGGCAAACCATCGATCACCGCAGCTGGCAACTAGAATATTCCTTCAGGCTGGAGCTAAATTCGATCTAGGAGCAATTTAGGTAGTGTAAAAAATACTTCTACCATTGGGACATAATCTTAGAAACCTATTGTAATATTAATGATACTGATTTTTCCTTATAGTGACTTGTTTGACATTATATCATTTGTTTGACAAAATGGGTATAACATATAGGAAATATGTTATACTCATTTTTTAAAGCAGAATTTTAAGAATATTTTTTTATGGAAGTGGAGACAATTTATAAAAGAATTCTCAAAGTTAACTGCATTTAAAAAAATGTAACACATGGTTAGTGCAAAGGGTGCTTAAAAAAATGAAGCAGTGCTTACTTATATTAAACTCTGAATTTTTGAAATGTAAAAGTTATAGATAATGCGAGCAGGTCTGTGCTGCATCATTAGTCTGTAACCCCATTTTTTTGTACAATGTTTAAAGCTAATAATTCAATGTGTTGAAACTTCCCTTCTTACGAAAAAATTCTGATCTTTCCAAAACAGTTAAAGTTTAATATTTTTAATGTTTAAGTGCATGAAATTAGACAATCATTGTAACCGATCGCGGGCTCTGCAAATAGATATAGATAGTTTGTAGCTGCATTTTTCAAAAATGTTGGGCTCCGCTCCAACTTACCTGCAACCGGCGCCCGATGTAGCCCAATCCAGGCCCCACGGCGCCTGCCACCCCTCCGCCGCCGCCGCCCCCGCCGCTGCCGCCGTGCAGGGAGCCGTAGAACTTGTTCTCGCTGCGGTCCGACACCAGGAACTGGTCGTCGCGCGTCGAGAAGTCCTCGTCGGGCTCTTCGCCCGGGTACGTGTCATCACTGTCCGGGGAGCTGCGCAGGCAAAATAGCTAGGTTCATTCATGGCGATGCATCACACACACTATTGCTCTTTGATAGTAAGAGCTTGTCTATTTTCCATAGTGTTATGACAGCACGTGCTCTGAGTTCAAAAACCAACGTTTGCGTGTTCAAACCCGGCTGTGGACAGTGGAATTTCAAAGGACGAAAAGTCCTCAACCAACATATTTTTGTGACACGTGTCTTGGCAGGTACCCGGCAAAATTCCTCTGGTTAATTAAACGAGATATCGCGTTCTGCCAGAGAGATTGTTCGGATATTATTGACGCAGACATCTGGCGGAGAAAGGAAGGATGACTTCTAGACGCTACAATAAGACTCGAAATATTCCCTAGCTTCGTGATGGGGGTATACGCTTCAAATGTAACGAGGATTGAAAATACAGGCGTGGAACACGATTAAATTATCACATATTTGGAAAAATCTCCAACATAAAATAATTCATAAAAAATTATGAATTCTGCTTAGAGTATACTACATTTTTAACTTTTAATTCTGTAATATAGTATACTTAATACGTAAAATTTATGTTCGTTTGAAATTCAATGCAAAATAAAACCTTCACCAAGTTACTCCAAGCCGAGAATCATAATTAACAGAGTAAGGGAGTCTTACGGATGAGTTAAGGGCAAGTGAACGTCTTTTGATGAAAAGTTATTAATGCATTATTAAGTTTTTCTTTATTTGAAATATGTTATTTCAACAGTACACATTAAAGTGAAACGTAGAGCAATTTAACCTTTCGACTAAGTGGAATGGGTTTTCGTATAAATATCTTATTCAATTTTACTTTTTTTCTAAATGGAAATACATAATTGGAACTTTTCAATACAATTTAAGATAATAACAAGACTTTTAAAGAAACCCAACAAAACAATTTTTTTCTGAAATTTTGAAGTCTGTCTTTAGACTACATTCTTTATCGTTGTTTTTGGTTGCCCGAACTAGATTTCATTATTTATAGTCCAGGCGTTTGCAGTCCCACATTGCAAACCCATGTCTGTTTTGGAATGTGGCATGCCTTAAAGTTTCAGAAAGCATTATCCCACTCCTTGTCACGCTATTGCGCAATCACCTCTAACGCCCCCTCCCGCAACACTTCCCGGCGTGGAGCAAACGAGCGCAAATCACGCCCTTGCGCCCTGCCCGTGACATCTGCGGTTCGTCCGGGGGCCGTGCTTCACACCGGTTGGGCGGCAGCGGTGAGTTTCCTCTCCGTCTTTTTGTCCCCGCAAAATGGATGAAAGCAATTGCTGCCCGGAACTTTATTGCCTGGTTCCAGACTTTCTCGCGCCTTCTTCCCACCCACCCCACCACCCCCACCTGCGTTCGCCACTATTTTGTTTTGCTTCCCTCTTGGCGCTCTCTCTCTCTTTCTCTCCCTATCTCTCTCTCTCTCTCTCTCTCTCTCTCTCTCTCTCTCTCTCTCTCTCTCTCTCTCTCTGTGTCCGAGATCCAATCTCCTTCAAAGCTCGCGTCCGCGGAGGCGTCTGCTGCACTTACGGATTAAACTTTCTTTCCATTTGTCTTACGCTATTACAAACTCGGAGGTACAACTTCTGTATTTTGGTAGCGGTGGCGTTGAAAAAGTGAAGAAACAATGTGCGAGTTGTAATGAATGGTGTGAAACTTGAGATTCCTTTTATAATATCATGAAAGCCCGGAGTATTTGGGGAAAAAGGAATCTCTTCTTTTTTATTTCCTTGTTAAATGTCACTTCAACATGAAGCATAGCCAGAAATTGAATATTTTTTCCCGAAAATGATCTTAAAGTTAAAGTTAATATGTAGTTGGCAAACCTGGAGATAATGGTAGTTTGTTGCAAGATTATAAAGAAAAGTGAAGCATTGTCTGGAAAATACTTTTATTAATGTTCAAAGTAGAATTTGACTGTTCTTCTACGGGTTATTTTTAATTGTACACAAGAGAATATTCTAGGATACAGACTCTTAAACTTACTTTCTTTTAACAAGGTTTGGGTAAATTGAAATTCCAAACCGTGTCTCTAAAATACCTTTGTTACGTTAGTGGCTTATCACACTTAAAAGTTAAATTTATTTATTACTGTGCTCCAAACATCTTTTCTAGAAATAGTGAAATTATTTCTGTATGTGAGATATGTATGGTAATGCATTGCATGTAGTAAGTTTATGTGTAAGTAATGGGTGAGAATAGGACAAGGAAGAGGAAGGAAAAATCGCGCGTGATCAGTTTGTTAGGGTACTGCTCCTGCATTCGCCTGGCATTTATCGATGTAACCACGGAAAACAACCCATCAGAGCAGTCAACTGCTGGAATTCCCCCCCAAACAGCGACAGAACTCAACCTAGCTAAGTAGATGGTGTCAAAAATTCTGCCACCGTCGGGAATCGAATCTAGAACGTCTCGGTCAGAGGCACTGCAGTGACATCAGTTGATACCCTGAGGCACCATGATACAATGTTTTGTGAAAACTCTTTTTTTTTCGTTGAACAGGCTTGTTATGTGGCGACACAAATGTTCCCCTCCCGGAGAGGCGTGGTGGTGGGGTGAGGGTGGGGCTGGGGGTGGGGAGATGAGAACTGACCTGCGGGTGCACTCGGCCGCACCATGAATGCGGCTGCTGCGGGGTTGTGCGCGCCGCCTGGCCGGCGCCCGGCTGGTGCACGGGGTGTGGCCCGCGCCCACGCCCCGCGGCGCCGCCGCCGCCCCGCGCCCGCCCGCCGCCGCCCCCGCTGCCCAGCGCCTGGCGCAGCTGCTCCGGGTGCAGCTGGTTGCCGTACAGCACCTGCGCACACACGCTCCGCGCTCAGTCATCGGGTTCTTCTCTGATGATCAAAGGATGTAGGATGATAGGCATTTGGTTATCTACACTAAACATGATATCGTAGGCTTCCGCGGCCAGAGTCATGATCTGCGCTGTCGTGGGTTGGGCTATGACGCCAGTGCTGTGATCAGCTGTGGGCTGTGGGCTGTGACGCCACGTCGAAGGCTGAGGGGCCGACTTTTCGACCGACGTATCGCGGTCCTCTTCAGGGCTGTACTGCCGTAGGTCGCAGTACACTGTCTCAGTACAGTTCTGAAGAGGATCGCGATATGTCGGTCGAAACGTCAACACCTCAGCATTTGACGCGGCAACGCCCAGATTACAATAAACATTTGACAGACCGAGGTATATTTCGCAACAAGACTTATTTGAACGCTCATGTTCTAATAATCAATACCCTAGTATTAACAACTATAACCAGTGCAGTAATAAGAATAATTAGAACATGTGTTCTAATAATCCATGGCCTCCAAGTGAATACTCCATTATCAGTATATCTTATCCCGGATGAATAGTCTAACTGAAACGAAAATGTATTTGAATGTTTACAAGGTGCACAGAACATTGTACGATACGTAACATTTAATGATAATATTGGATAAAAAATTCGCCCTACGACCCCATTTAATACTTCTTCAATTTCATATTGTATTGACAAAGTTTTTGGCAATAATTTTTAATAACTATTTTAGCACAAGAGTAAATGTTTCACGAGTGATAACGTTTTGTCCCCAAGATGACCAAAGGATGCCTAAATCTTACAAGTTTAAAAAATCTTGTTACTCTCGAGTGAGAGACAATGTTTAATGCAATACCTCCATTAAAACGAAAGCTATAAATTAAAAAATCCAAATGAGACAATTATGCTGAAATTTTAAAACTCTTATAAAGAAATCGTTATTAAGGAGACATAAACAAAATTAACCTATTTCGGTATACTACTATATTCATTGTCAATGCCATAAAATTGTTAACAAGGATAATATTTTTATTCATAAGAAAATAAAACCATTGGTAATGATGAGAAGAGCATTGAAATGAATTATAGTTTACCTAGTTTTATGGCATTAATGCTAAAGCATTTTATTTATTCCCAATATGTAAGCTTATATTTATTTTATGACTCTTAACATTAACATTGGCATATTCTAGTGAAATAAAACATCTTATTCTACTACTACAATTTGCAAACATTTTCTTTACTACTTCTTGACTATTTTATTAAAACAATTAAAGAGAATCTACATTTATGTAATAGAACATAATTTATATCAAGAGACCTAAAATAAATAAATGAAAAACTATATATTTGGCGATTTACGAATTGGTAATGAAAATTAAAATGTAATTTGAGGAAAATTAGAAGAAAGTTTTCAATCGTGAAAATTAGAAGTCAACTAGTATCATCTAAACCATTTAATTCTGACATAAAATCATATTTTACCCTTCTTTGAAAGAAATATTTCATAAACATCTACTTTATTTCTATTGTCAATGTTTAAAACAACCACAACAGTTTTGCACTTCTTATTCTCCTTACGTTTTTGCAAGAGTATTGATGTTTATTTCTGAATTTAATGACTTATCAAAACGTTAATATATTGAGTTGATAGCAATAAATAACCCAATTTTCGTATCTGTTTTTATTGTCAAACCCTGAGATGTATATTTACTATGTACCGGGTTGAACAATAGTGTAACAGCTATGAGTATCGAACTTTAAAACGTCTCCAGAAAAATACGCTATTCTTGAGCTGTTTTTATCAAACAGATGGACGATAGTGCAAGAGCCGTTATGTTTAAAATACGTGATTTCGATGGGTGTGGGGTCCCACCTGGCCGTTGCTGAGGTTCTCCTTTGTAGGCGAGCCGCGGATGGGCGTCCGCAGCGACTGAGGCAGCAGCTCGATGAGGTTCGTGGAGTGCGGCTGGTAGCGCAGGATTAGCACGCACGTCGACACCAGCGTGTAGGCCAACAGCGTGCCTGCGCCACGGGAAGATGCATTCACGATTCGAAACAGTCCACACTCCGTTGGAGTTAATTAATCCTAAGAGATTTGAGAATGTTCTCACATACTAACAAACCCAGACTTCGATTGGACCAGAAAAATATGGGAATTTTATACACTGAAATGGTTGGATGAGTTACAACACCAAGCTCACTGTCTGAGATTTCTTGAAAAACCGAAAAAAAGTCAATGTTAAAAACAGTAAAATGTCAAGTATATAGTCTTTTATTGTTCCAGGGAATAGCATTCGATATATAAAAATACACAATAGGGATATATTTGTTTTATTTCTTACTCAAGAAATTGCAAACGAAAAGTTCGGAATCAGCCGGTTCTAAAATGAAGTTGTTGAAAAACAGTGAATCTCAGCACATGAGCAAAAAAATTTGGGGTTATATATTTTATTCTTTAGTCAAATTTCCGTATGATACAAATTCGTTGTTGTTTGTTTATTTTTGGACTTAAAGCAAACCTCTTGAGTAATAATCCCTATTTAGAATGTAAATGCAGCTAACATTACTATTTGTACAATTTTTATACAAACATTGCACCAACACCTTCTTTTGAATCTCCAAATGATAACCACAAAAAATGTTCTTTGTATATTGTATAAATTGTCGTGGTTTCATGTATTGACTGGGTGTAATAATAACAATTTTTAATAATAACAATACGTTGCTTTATTAGTGGCTAGGCTCAGGTCATAAGGCTTAGTCTTCCACCTGATCAATTTAAGGAATTTGTTTGGAACGTGTTTGGTTTGTTTTTGTTGAAAACCGAAGGAATAGGTTTTTTTAGTGCCTAATGATCGTACTACAGGTTCCTTTTCTTCTTGGGTTCGGAGAGACAAATGATATTTCCGTGCTACTCTTGTATTATGATTTGTTCAGTTGTATTGTGGGAGAGGTGGTAGGCGCATAGCACACTCACTCACCGATGGACATCATCTCGACGAGCACCTCGAGGCTGATGAGAAGGGCGGCGAGGGCGGCGGCGAGGCCCGAGGTGAGAGTGGCGATGGCGGGCGTGCCCGTAGCCGGCCACACCTGCGACAGTTGCCTGCAACAGACAGCAACACGCCATTTCCACATGCAATCCGCCACCCGAAAATGCTGTGTAAAGCTGGTGAAATAGCTGTAGAAATAGCTGAAGGAATAGATTGAGAAATAACCGAAGCAATAGATTGAGAAATAGCTGAAGGAATAGGTTGAGAAATAGCTAAAGTAATAGATTGAGGAATAGCTGAAGGAATAGATTGAGAAATATCTGGAGAAATAGATTGAAAAATAGCTGGAGAAATAGCCGCAGAAATTGCTTGAGAAATGGGTGCAGAAGTTCCTGCAGAGTTCTAAATACTTAAAAAAAGCTTTTTTTAAGGTGGGTTATAAAAATGAGGTTTTCATACTTCGACATTTCTACTGACCTTTATTAGTGTAAAGAATATCTATCAAACGTATGTAAGTTAACGTATGTAATATCAACAAAATATTTATTCATCATTTGGAACAAGCTTGTGGCTAAAAATCTAGAAAAAGGACTGAAATCAAATAAATTCAAAATCTTGGCCTTAAAAGCAAATCGGGGGCATTATATCCTTGATTTTTTTACATTTTAGAACAAAATGTATCAACTAATTATAAGACGAACTGAGCCACAAATCCTGATTAACCGTGTAATATAACGAAATAATATAATACTTCAAACATGTTAATCCTGGATCAAGGTTTAAAGAAGTTGTAACGGATTATCAAAAAAGACTCATTAAAATTTGAGTTCCATTGATGTATAAACAATAAGAGTATTGTAATACTCTCAATCTCCTTTTGGATAATAATTTAATGGATATTTTTATTAAACGTATTTTCATTATTTGTACTCGTTTCCTGAATTTTATTCAGTAGATCAAAATAAAATCGGTACATCCGACCGAGTTGGATTTCTTTCTATGCCATTTGTGCAACGTATTATCTCTACATATCACAGAGTATGATCTGCCTCTTCTTGCTACGATCACTTTTCATATTTTTACAGTATATGCTCTATAAGATAACTTCATCGCCTTTCACTGTTTTCTCTGCAAGTAAAGCTAAAGTAAAAGAGGAAAAGAAATCGTAGTTTTCTGTACAATATTATTTATATTACGTTATTCTGCAAAAAACAAATAAAGAGAAGATGATAAAATAATATATTCCGATCTTGACAACGGGCTTCGTTCGCCAACAAAAAAGGATGATAAGTCTTTTCACTGTTTTAGTATTTTCGCAATTTTCATAGAATATTTTCTTGGCATACTGTGTTGCTCAACCTTTCCAAATATGAATTATTGGAAAACTCCCTAGTGATGGGGAGACTTGCTGCGTTGATAATAGGCAGAATGAACGCGACCTCGTCTTGTACCTTTTAGGAACGAAGGTTGTTTACGAATAAGACGTGTTTTAATTAAGTTGATTTTTATCTCGAAAATGAGGTAAAGATGCCGAAATTATTGTTTTTTTGACTTATCTTTACTCGTTCACCAACAAAAAATAGACAATATGGACGGAGACTTCGCAGTTGGAATCTTCATTGACCGGGAGGTACTCCGTCCTAAGTAAACTTAACTATGTTTCGGCCGTCATACTGCGACCTCCATACGGGCAAATGCGTCTATGACTGAAACAAACTTCCTAAGACGTCCTACATTCCGGAGGGTCAAGTTTATAAATAATAGAAAAAGTTCTGATTTCTTTCAGACGTATTTTTTCTTCTTATTTTCCTTTTTATTTTTTCCCTTTTATTTTCTTCTTCTTCAGCTTCTTCACTATCTTTGATTAGGGTTAATAGCCTGTTCCATTTTAACTCCAAACATCGTTTCCTTAATATTGGTCTTGTGGTGAGTTATCGTTTGCATTTACATTGAAATAATTATATACTCATAAAATTATTTCATATTTTCCTTGTTTCTCGTTTCCCTATAGGTTTATAAGTTAATATTGTGATTGTTATATCGACCAACATGTATTCGCACCATGACAGTTTTCATGAGCATCATTCTCTGTTGCGCGCGTTCGGCCACCGATCCTTGGGGTACGCCCGAGAGGCGTGGGGTTGACGTAGGGTGGCCTGTGCCGAGCAACCCCTTCGGTCTCTGGGGGCGAGCGGCCGACGCCTCGTGGCACAGCGTCGCCACATCCCCCGACGCCCACCCTCTTGACGGCTAATGAATAATACGACGGACGCCGCTGCTCCGCTGTGCTCTTGGGCGAGCGCCGTCGACGCCCTTGTGGGAGATGAAAGCTTAACGCTGCGCTGCATTATGCGATTAGAGTTCTAAACACTTGTTACTGAAACTCAGGCTTGTAGATTGTAAGCTGTTTTATTATTTCATTACTTGCTAATGTTTCGAATATATCGTACTTATATATTCAAAACATTTATAAATAAAATAACCGAAACCCATGTATTTAAAAAAATATTATATCCAACTTTCCTGTGAATGTAAAGTTACAAAATAATTTGACTCGTTTTAATCATTACTAACGAATATGATGAATTACGTTTTTCTCCGATTAGGTTATTTGATGACACCAAAACAAGATTGCGTTAATACTAAAGCCCCGAATAAATCAAAGATACATACTTCTCACACCTGTGGGCAGAAGATAAGCGGCGAATCAAAGCATGCCAAGTGGGCCATCCACTTGAACAGCACTGTTTTAGATATCGCATTTGGTTAATCCGTTTGATTTATTCGATTTCTGGCTGAAGCTAAGTGTTCCCATATTGAAAAGATGTACAGAATGTAACAATGCAATGAAGCCCACTGAACTATTAACAATGCAATGAAGCAATGTAATGCCCACGCATGTGTCGCGGTGGCGCCATTTCGCACTCACCTGAAGATGAGCCCGTCCGAGGCCATGGCGTAGACAATGCGCGGCATGGGGAACATGGAGCCGAACATGGAGACGGTGAGGCCGGCCAGCGCGCCAACCGCCACGATGTACTTGCACTTGTACGCCCCCACCTGCCCGAACATCTCCACCAGCGCCGAGTCCTCGTCCACCTGGTCGTACGGCACTGCAGACACGCGCGCACACACACAACACCAAACGATGAA